AAAGGCCTATTCTTGTGCTGTACTATTCTGTGTTCTATGTTTGATAGAGGTGTCTTAAGGTGTCTTGATAGGGTAAATATTGTTTTTCACTAGCAGATGATACAAATTTAAGATATTTGATTAAAAAAAATAAACAACATAGAGCTGAGGAAGTATTGTTTTAGGCAGAGAGTTGAAGTGGCCTGGAATGCATTGTCAAAAGGCCGATAGAAGCAAATGCAATAGCACTGGTAAATAGGGTAAAAAGAAGGGAAATATAACAAGTTTTAAAAAGCAATTGAAGAGGCATCACGGGTGATAAAACAAAATGGCCTGCTGTGTTTTGTAGCTCTGAATTTGAAGTCACATGATAGCTGCTGAAAATTGTGATTTGTAGGCCAACCTATAGAACTGCACTGGGTATGGAATTTATCCAGTATTTTAGATCTGCTGAAGAAAATAATTTGGTCCAGAGTTTATTCTTTCCTGCTTTGAGTTATACCAATTCTATCCGCTAGAGGTAAGAACTGCTGTAGCCTGTAACTGTGGAATTTGGAGTAATTTAACATCTTTGTACAAATTACCTTTAGTACACCATGGTGTGACAATGCCTGAATTAGCTTGAATTGTTACGTTCGTATAATTATATGTGTAACTGAAATGTGGTGGCGTATACTTGACATATGAGCAGTAAACTAAACTCCTTCAGTATCAATGACTGTAAATTTACCATGTAGTATGATACTAAGTGAAGCCGACAAGGATTGTCTCAATTTTGTATTTGTTTACTGAATTCGGTTGAAGTTGTGAATGCTATACTTGGCTTCAGTGTCTTTGAGCCAGGATTGTTTATTACTAACTCTTGTGGAAGTGGGCATGACTGAACATCGAATGAGGAAAGAATCAAACTTGATGCCGTGTGCCACATACACAATTAGGCGTGTCACTGAACAGTTGTTAACGCATATTGAGTCAGGGATTTTTGTACAATGAGTTCATAAATTCACAGTCTAAACTCTATTGTTAACATTTGTCTCCTGATTATTTGACTGGGAATTTTATGGGATAAGGCCTTAGGCAGGACGTGACCTGTTTGTCAACCCCAATGTGCTTGTGTCTAACATAAACCTAATGTGATAGCAAATTTAAACTGAAATAAAAATTGTACTTTGTAACCAGGTACTGTGGTACCAAATGAATGACACTAAAATCTGGAGACTCCTGATGACCCAATTCTGCATCCAATTCTGAATACTGCAGTTTAGGACTGATGTAAAGGATTTAAAAGAGGGTGAAGATTTATGAAAATTATTCCCAGGATGATGGATTCAAATTTGTTGGTCTAAGGGAAGAGAATGTTAAGAGCAGATTTGGTAAGAGATATTTAAAATCAGTTGAGAGTGTAGGCAGAGTAGAAATGGAGAAATTATTCCTGTTGACAGAGGGGAAAAGAAGCTAAGAGCTCAGATTTAAGGGGTTTGGCAAAAGAATTTGACAGCTCGAGGAAAAGCTCTTATTAATTCACTGCTTGAAAACGGTGGAAGCAGATTCAATCATGGTTTTCAAAAGGGAACAACACTAGAAGGAAAAGAAACTGCAGGGCCATGGGAAAGATTAGGGAAGTGGTGCCAGCTAAATTTCTTTCATAGAGCATTGACACAGACTCGACTTGCCGAATGGCCGCCTTTTGTGTTCTCACCATTCTATGATTCGTTGTATTCAGGATGGAACTGAAGGCTCCGTCATGTTTACTTTACAACGTTTTTTCCTATTCTGAGCCTTTTTAATAATACCTATAATTTAGTGTTTATTTGCAGATTGAGCAATAGAGGGTAGATGGTATGAAATTGTCCATGTTTTACAAATAAGACATTCGATAATTAGCACAAGAAGTGATAACTAGCTTTAGGTTTATTTGTATGCACCTCCCATTTTAAGCAGTAAATCATTGATTTGAGGGTACGTCCTGTGCTCGAGATCACTTCTTGGTCATCAACATAGGTAGTAAGATTTAAACATTTAAATGTACTTTTTTGTGAAATGAGAAAGTTTGTTAGAAAGAATTGGAGTTTTAATTTTCTTTTTACAGAGAAGCATTCTGACTGGAGTTAGCTGTATAGAGGATTATTTATTAATAATCGGCTAATCTCAAATTGCTGCACTACAAACTCTATAGTTATTTTCTTGATTATAATCAATTTTAACATTTTTAATGAATCTGGTGTAATCTTATCAGTACTTATCTTAAAATTTGATGCAGCAAGTTTAATTTTCAAGGATAGTGATATTTTGCTTCATGTAAGAACCGTATACATTGAATTAGAGATTACTGTGAGTGCTGTAGTAATAATGATATTTCTTTATTATCTTTGCTACTACTGGAGTCACACCACTCACTCATGACTTTTATGTCTACCGGTGAGTCAGATTGTTAAGATTGGGAGACCTATTATCTAATGGTCATCCAAAGAACTGGAAACGATTATTAAAGCATTTCTTGTACTCTTAAATTTCTTGTAATCTGTGTTTAATTTGCTAAATTGTGTCTGAATTTTTGATATTCTGTTTAGTGATGAACGTTATAACAACAGAGGACTACCAGCGTACTTACTGGCCAAAATTGGATAGTGCCATTGATCAGCTTTTGACACAGTCTCCTGGAGACTGCATCCCCATATCTTATGAGCAAATATACAGGTGAGAAAAATAAAATTTTAGGCATTGATAAGACTGTGGTTGAAGAAATTATCAGCATTTAATGAGCTTACTTTGTAAAAGTAATGCTTGCGATGCCTAATTTTACAATGAAGACCAAAATGAATCATTTGTAATAAGTCTGAGATCCCCACTTGTATGTGAACTAGAAAATATTTTTTAAAATGACTAATTTAAACCCCAAATGACCAGAGAAAACAATGTCTTTGCACTTACTTGCTCCTGAGATTTACTTTAATTATTTGCACCCCCATCCCTTTAGAGTGCCACCTTCTAATGTAGTCCTTTGGCAATTATGTTCTTTGTGATTCTGAATTGATTCCCAAGCTAGTTGAAGTTCTAACCCTGCATTGCAATGACTGAAGCTGACATTAATTGCTCTATGCCCTCAGTACATTTCCTCTGTATGTTCGATATAATCATTTATGCAATATTCTTGTTTGTTAGCCCATCCTATATTTGTTCTTTATCAGCCTGTTTCTCAGACCCCATACACATTTGTTTACGAGTCTCTGAGGTTCTGAAATGCCATTATCATAAAATAACTCAAACCAAACTTTGATGTGAACAGTAACAAAGATTGATCAGTTGTAACAAAGTGATGGCTGACCAACCAAGTTATTCAAACTGTAAAAACATAAATAATTTTTCATTTTTATTTTGAACTTTTACCCATTTGTCTGCATAATAATGATGACAGCATTTCAAAACTAACTTATTTGCTCTGAAAGCTTTGGAATGTCCTGAGTGATTTATTAAAGTGCCGTATAAATGGAGAATACTTAACATTGTTTTTAACTCTTGTCTCCAGTCGAAATTTTGTGTGGAACTATGTCCTCTTTAATACCTTGCCTACAATGTTTCATTTGGATCCTGGGATTTACAGAAAAGGAACAGATAAAATTGAGAGGGCAGTTAAATTAAAATTGTCAAGAATAAACAAAGCAGCTATTTTATGGAAATATATAATTTAAATTGAAAAATAGAGGCACATTCTCCAGAAAGTTGTATATTTTTTGAAAATGATTTATTCTTTCATGGATCTGGCTGTTGCTTGCAAGGTCAGTATTTGTTGCACATCCCTAATTGTCCTTGAACAACCATTGATTGCTGAACCATTTCAGAGAGCATTTATAAGTCAGCCATGTTGCTGGGGGTCTGGACTTGCCTGTGGCTCAGACTGGGTAAGCTTGGAAAATGTGCTTTTGTAGTGAATTTAACGGGTTTTTTTAAAATGACAATTGATGAAAGCAATGGTCATGATCACTGAAACCGGTTTTTCATAGAATCATACAATCCATACAGCAGGATTTTAATTCCAGATTTTCTTTAAATTCCACCGGCTGCTATGAGTTTATTGAATCACTGCAAATTATTGGCTCTGATTAAATGCATATTAATTGCGTATGAAATTCTATAAAACTCTGCAACTTCTGATCCATTGTGACCAATGGCATAGAATATCTGATTTGCCTGAAGCAGGTTCAGAGGACGTTCACGAGAATGGTCCCAGGAATGGAAAGCTTAACATATGAGAAACGTTTGAGGACTCTGGGACTATACTCATTGGAGTTTAGAAGGATGAGGGGGGATCTAATTGAAACTTACAGAATACTGAATGGCCTGGACAAAACAGATGTTGGGAAGATGCTTCCATTGGTAGGAGAGTCTAGGACCCAAGGGCACAGCCTTAGAGTAAAGGGAGGACCTTTCAGAATGGAGGTAAGGAGAAATTACTTCAGCCAGAGAGTGGTGAATCTATGGAATTCACTGCCACAGAAGGCTGTGGAGGCCAGGCCATTGAGTACATTTAAGACTGAGAGAGAGAGGTTTTTGATTATCAAGGGGATCAAGGGTTACAGGGAGAAAACAGGAGAATGGGGATGAGGAATTTATCAGCCATGATTGAATGGCGGAGCAGACTTGGTGGGCCAAATGGCCTAATTTCTGCTCCTATGTCTTATGGTCTTATATGTGCCAATGCCTGTCACATGAGATGCCACACAATTTCATGCACAAATTTGTTACAGTTACATCTGAATGAATTGATTTTGCGTTTGTAAGGCTCAATTTGAGCGTGTAGTTTGGTATTCAAGAAATATCAATTAATATCTGCCAATCTGTATGGAGCTTGCGAGTTAGCTAGTAGCAAACATAAATGAAAAGTACTGTTAATTCTTTTCCTCAAATATCATAATGAATTGGTCAGTCAGCAAAATTCTCAGTTTTTTAATGCATTAATTAAAATCATATTATCTTTCTTTGAACTGCTTGCAACGCAAATTTTTAAAAAATTTATTCTTTATGGAATGAGAGTATTGCTGGTTAGACCAGTATTTACTGTCTATCCTTAACTGCTCTTGGGCCGCTCCAATTTATGTGGCGTAGGTATCCCTCATTAGGGAGGGAGTTCCAGGACTTTGATATAGCACCAATGAAAAATTAGTGATATTGTTCCAAGTCAGGTGGGTGGCTTGGAGAACAGCTTTCAGGTGACAGTGTCCCTATGCATTGCTGCCCTGTCCTAGTTTTCGGAGGTTGCAGGTTTAGGAGGTACTGTTGATGGAACCTTGATACACTGCTGCAATGATGTGTAGAAAGCACTGCTGCCACTGTGCCTTGGTTCTGATGCAAGATGATGAATGGGGTGCAAATTAAGTGGGCAGCTGAAGTGTCCAGGATGGTGTTGAGCATCTTGAGTGTTATTGAAGCAGCGTTCTTCCAGCTAAGAAGAGAGTATTCCATCACATTTCTGACTTTCCTGACCCCAACTGCCTCAGCTCCCAGTGGCTCCAGTTTTGCTCACCTTGATGTGTATTCTGTCAAATATTGCCTTGATGTCAAGGGCAGTCAATTTCATCTTATCTCTGAAATTCAGCTCTTTGCTTATGTTTGGCCTATGGCTGTAATGACATCAGGAGATGAGAATCCAAACTGATTGTCAGTGAGTGGATGATTGCTGAGCAAGTGCTACTTGATAGCACTGTTGATGACCTCTTCAATCACTTTTCTGGTGAAAGAGGATCAACTGATGGGGTAGTAATTGCCAAGCTTTCATTTGTCCTTTTTGTGAACAGGACTTACCTGGACATGTCCACATTGCTGGGTACATGCCAGTATTGTAGGTGTACTGGAAAAGTTAGACTAGGGGTGCAGCTAATTCTGGAGTACATCTTCAATACTGTTGCTGGGATGTTGTCAGAGCCCTTAACCTTTGCAGTATTCAGTGCCTTCAGTCATTTTTTGACATCACAAGTTGAATTGACTGGCTTCTGTTATTCTGGGGACTTTGGGAGGAGGCTGCGATTGATCATCCACTTAGCACTGCAGCTAAACCTTACTGAAGAGTTTGTAGGATCGACCATACTGGGCGAGCTGGTTTTTCTGGTGCCTAGGTTAGTGCTGGGTGGCCTGTGGTTTTGTTCCTTCTTTAAGCATGTTGTAGTTTAACATACCGACTGGTTTGCTAGGACATTTCACAAGGTACTTAAATGTCACTTGCATTTACTGTGGATCTGGTGTCACATATTGGCAGACCAGCTAAACATGCCCAGTTTCCTTCCCTAAAGGAAATAAATTAGTGGACCAAATGTATTTTTGCAAAAATGGATGGTGGTTCCATTGTCAACGTTGTGACTAGCTTTTAGCTTCAATTAATACATTTTGAACTAAGTTCCACCAACTGCTGTGGTGGGATTTGAGCCCATAGATTCTGAGCAGTAATGGGGACCTTTCTAAAGAATTCTAGAAGATTACCACCCAGGCATGAATTATCTCTTCAGTCACTAAAGGAAGGCTGTTTAAACTGGAAAGAGTGCAAAAAAGATTTACAAGGATTTTGCCAAGACTGGAAGATTTGAGTTGTATGGAGATGTTGGATAGGCTAGGACTTGTTTTTACCCTGGACCCTCCCTTCCCTAGGAGGCTGAGGGGAGACCTTATAGAGATTTATAAAATCATAAAGGGCATAGAAAAGGTGAAAAGCCAAGCTCTTTTCCCCAGGTTACAGGAGTCCAAAACTTGGAGGCATAGGTTTAAGGTGAGAGGGGAAAGATTTAAAAAGGACTTGAGGGGCAACTTTTTCAAACAGAGGGTGGTGCGTATATTGAGTGAGCTGCCAGAAGAAGTGGTAGAAGCAGGTACAATTACAACATTTAAAAGACATTTGGACAGGTACCTGGATAGAAAAGGTTTAGAGTGATATGGGCCAAACACAGGCAAATGGGACTAATTCAGTTTAGGAAACCTGGTTGGTATGGACTAGTTGTGTTGAAGGTCTGTTTCCGTGTTGTATGACTCAGGCTTCATTTAAGACCCGATGATGCAGGCCATCAGGTACAGAGAACCTGTAAACCATTAGTCCCACTTTAGTCATCGGAGAAAAAGTAGAATGAAAATAAAGCATAGGAGCAGGAGTGGGCCATTCAGCCAATTGAGTCTCCTATGCCATTCAATGAGATCATGGCTGATCTCCTAATCCTCAACTCCTTACCTGTCTTTCCCCATAACCTCGATTCCCTTAGTGGTTTTAAAAAGCCTATCACATCCTTGAATATATTTACCATGTCTCTGTCATGACAACCATGTCATACTTGTCTATTTCTATTTATACTTCAGTTATCAATCCATCTTGTTACAAGTGCTGTGTGCATTCAGAAAAAGAGCCATTAATTCTGTCTTAGTTTAGTTTTGGGAAACCTGATCAGAATGCGAAGTGTCTGTGTCTGTGCCTGTGCTGTATGACTCTATGATTGTCTTTCCTACTCTGATGTTATTTGGTAATGAGCCGGTTTTGTTTATACATTCTGTCCCTTCCTGACATAATGTGGTTACTTGTAACAGTGTTGCTACCTTGCCTTAAATAGCTCTCAATTTTTTTGCCATCATTGGATGAAGTGAAAACCCACAATATTGGAGATGAAGCATGATATGCAATATGCAACAAACATGTTAGAATAAAATGATTAGATTTAATTATAGAA